CAGGGTCGGCCAGCAGGCTTGAGAGTGACATCAGTAAGACAGCGGAATAGGGAGTCCCCGCCCTCATTTCCCTCCAGAAACACCAATTTGACAGAGGACCGGAATCTAGTCTTAATACTCCAGAGGAGCCCAGAACTGAGAGAAGCTGCAATGCAATGCATAAGAAGAGCGATTTCACTTTATGCACCTCAGCCCTCCCCTAAGCCAGCACAGCTCAGCGCTGAGCGAGATGGCCATGACCCTCGAATTCTCCCTTGTGGGGGAAGATAGAATGTAGTGTGCCTCAAATGTTCTGCTCTTTCAACGCACTGCCCGAGGGGCCAGCTTTTTCCTTGCCTCACATGGAGTGCTGATGGAACCAGGATAGTTGGGACACCTGGGTGCAGTTAAGGACAAAGGAAGAGGGGCGGGGTTAGGTGTGACTGGCACAGCTCTGTGAGATTGAGAGAAGGTACAGAACCTGAAGCTTCTCCACAGGGAAAAAGGAAGAGGCATGGGCCATGCCTCCAATATCCTGGCCCGCAGCAGTGCAGCGGTCAGACACCAGACAAAGAAGAGGTTTCGGGTTCCTGGAGGGTGGAAGTAGAAAACAATAAGTCCTCTAATTTGGAATCTACACACACAAGTCCAGAGAAGGCCCATCCATAGAAAAAGTCCGAGAGGCTCCCAGAATCTCTAGCCAGACCGAGTGGTGAAGGCCTTTCCCTTTCAAAGCCAGCCTGCAAAGACGGGGAGAGGTGGCTATTTCTTCTAATATAGACACCGGTGCAAAGTTACAAAGAAGACAAAGATTCAAGGACACATGACATAATCGGATGAACAAAGTAAAGCTCCAGTAACTGATCCTAAAGAAATGGAGATCTACAAATTGCCTGACAAGAATTCAAAATAATCATATTAAAGTAGCTCAGAGAATTATGATAGAACACAGATAGACCACTAAATGAAATCAGGAAAACAACACACGAACAAAACGAGAAGTTCAACAAAGACAGAAACTATAAAAAGGAAACAAATTCTGGAGCTGAGGAATACAAATGAATTTCAAAATGTACTAGAGGGCATACTTGATAAGGCTGAAGAATCACTGTGCTCAAAGAAAGTCACTTGAAATTATCCAGTCAGAGGACCAAAAAGAAAAAAGTCAAGAAAGTAAAGGACTTATGGCATATCCTCAAGCAAATCAACACACACACGATGGTAGTCCCAAAAGGAGAAGAGAGAGAAAAAAAGGGAGAAGCCTTATTTAAAGAAATAATGGCCCCAAACTTCCTATATCTGGGGTGGGAAATGGACATACAGATTCCCAAAAGACCTTAAATAGAATGAACCCAGGATGGGATGAACCTACATGGAGACCCACTGTAGTCAAATTTTCAAAATTAAAAGACAGAAGTTTGAAAGTAGCAAGAGAAAAGCAACTTATCACATACAAGGGAGCCCCCATAAGACTCCATTGAGTAGATTTCTTAGCAGAAACTGCAAGCCAGAGGTAGTGGAATGATATATTTAAAGTGTTGAAGGAAAAAAAAAAACAAACTACCAAACAAAAATACTATGCCTGGAAAAACTATTCTTCACAACTTAAGGAGAGATATAGACTCCTGGGCAAACAGAAGCTGAGGGAGTTTATCACCTCTAGACCTGCTTTACAAGAAATGCCAAAGGGAGGTCTTAAAGTTGAAATACAAGGATGCTAAGCAGTAACACGAGAGCATATGAAGTAAGAAACTCAATGGTAAAGGTAAATGTACAGACAAATACATTATACTGTAATACTGTAATGATGGTATGTAATCAGCATTCAAGTCTAACTGAAAAAGACAAAAGAATTAAGAATAACTATAAAAATTTGTTAATAGGTACACAATATAAAAAGATGTGAATTGTGATATAAAAGTTTGTGGTGGGGGAGAAGTAAAAGCGTAGAGTTTTTGTATGTGATTGAAGTTTTTTTTGTTGTTGTTAAGTTTTTATAAGCTTAAAACAGACTGTTATAACTATTAGATATTTTATGTAAGCCTCACAGTAGCCACAAAGAAAATACCTATAAAAGGTACACAAAAGAAAAAGGGAAAGAAATCAAAGCATATCACTCCAAAAAAATCAACAAATCACAAAGGAAGACAGCAAGAAAGGAGAAACGGGACAAAAAACTACAAGACAGAAACAATTAACAAAATGACTCTAGTGAGTCCTTACCTCTCAATAATTAAATATAAATGGATTAAACCCTCCAATCCAAAGACAGTTGTGGCTGAATGGATAAAAATAGCACCCAACTATGTGCTGTTTACAAGAGACTCACTTTAGATTCCACACTGAATCTAAAGGCTGAAATACACCTTTCAGGTGTAGGCTGAAAGGGAAGAGATGGAAAAAGATACTTTATGCAAATGGTAACCAAAAGACAGTAGGAGTGGACGAACTTATATCAAACAAAAGAGGTTAAATAAAAAACCGTCTCTAGAGACAAAAAAGGTCAATATGTAATGATAAAAGGCTCAATTCATCAGGGAGCTATAACAATTATAAGTATATATGCACCCAGTATCACAGCACATAAATATATTGATGCAACATTGATGAAGATGGTCTGGAAGTGAATTCCCTCTTCCTCAGGGGACCTCAATCTATTTTATCTTAAGGCCGTGAGATGACTGGATGAGGCCCATCTACATGACAAGGATAACCTGCTTTATCCAAAGTGTACTAATTTAAATGTTAATCTCATTGAAAAAATACCTTCACAACAACATTCAGACTGGTGTTTGACCAGTCTAGGTACTGTGGCCCATGAAAGGTGACACAAAAAATAAGCAAGCATACCAAATAAGGTAATATTCATCATTTCCAGGGATTAGGAAATGAATATATCTTTGGAAGTCATTTTTGTTTATTTAAAAATTAAAAATTTTTAAATTAAAAAAATGTCTTGATTTATAACATTATATAAGTTTCAAGTGTATGGTAGTATTACGTCTGTATACTCTATAGCGTGCTCACCAGCAAAATTTGAGTTTCCACCCATCACCATGCAGTGATCCCCTTTATCCATTTCACCCTCCCCACTGCCCCTTCCCCTCCAGTAACCACTACTCTGATCTCTGTATCTATGTGTTTGGTTTGGTTTGTTCATTTATTTGTTTGTTTGCTTTTTTTTTCTTTTTTTTCTTTTGCGGTACGCGGGCCTCTCACTGTTGTGGCCTCTCCCGTTGCGGAGCACAGGCTCCGGACGCGCAGGCTCAGCGGCCATGGCTCACGGGCCCAGCCGCTCCGCGGCATGTGGGATCTTCCCGGACCGGGGCACGAACCCGTGTCCCCTGCATCGGCAGGCGGACTCTCAACCACTGCGCCACCAGGGAAGCCCAGTTTGTTTGCTTTTTATATTCCAGATGTGAGTGAAATCATATAGTATTTGCCTTTCTCCATCTGACTTATTTCTCTTTGCATAACACCCTCAACGTCCATCCATGTTATCACAAATGGGAATATTCTCATCTTTTTTTACGGATGAGTAGTATTCCATTATGCATTTGTGTGTGTTTCTGTGTGTGTGTGTGTGTGTGTGTGTGTGTGTGTGTATAACATCTTCTTTATCCATTCATCTGTTGATCGGCACTTAATTTGTTTCCATATCTTGGCAATTTTAAACAATGCCAAGATGAACACAGGGATGCATGTAAGTTTTCGAATTAGTGTTTTCGTATTCTTTGGATAAATACCTAGAAGTGGGATAGCTGGATCATACAGTAGTTCTATACTTAATTTTTTGAGGAATCTCCACACTATTTCCATAGTGGCTGCACCAATTTTCATTCCCTCCAACAGTGTATGAGGGTTGCCTTTTCCCCACACCCTCAACAATCCTTGTTATTTAAGTGCGGGCAGCGAACCTAACCCTGTGGGATTCCCAGTGTGCTCCCAGGTGGGAGGGTTGTTTATGAAGGTCTTACTGTGTGCCAAGTCATTAATTGTAATGTTTTATTTAATGGTTACCTAATCCTTACAATTGCTAAAAGTGCCTGCATTCTGGTTTGTCCTAGGTCATAGACAATAAGTGGCATATGTAGTTAGGTGTTATTTTATGGAATTAAGAAAAAAATCTTTAAGATCTCCGTGTCCATTTCCAAACTAGTAGTTCAGATGTTATGGTGTTGATCTAGACACTGATAATCCTCTTTTGGCAGTTTAGAAAAATAAAATAACAAGAGGAAACTAACAGCCTAGTTGAAGGCAAACACTTGTAAACCTGACTCTTCAAATAAGGGTTCCACACTTGCCTTCAGGGGCTGTCACTTTTTACCTTCCCAAGCCTGAGAATCATATGTGAAAAGTGACAACATGACAGTAGAGGCGTCTGTACAACATGCAGTGCTTCTGTGGAGGGAGGGAATGTGGTGGACAGTCCCTGGGGCCTTGGGGAAGCCAGGCGTGGTGCTGGGCAGTACGAAGCTTCTCGTCACTGCCCTGGGTGGTGTTGGGCCCCTCTCACAGGGACTCGTGATAGAGGACACTGTGCAATTCCAATCTGATTTCAACATTGTCACCTATATAGGGGCAATTAATCTTCACAGCAATCCTATGACTATTATCCCCATTTTACATTTGAGGGGATACAGTAGATGCAGTATTTTGATCAAGGTCATGCAGGAAGGCGGCAGAGCCAAGACTTTTTGGTTTCAGATGTTTGCCTTGAAAGATTTCAAACAGAAAAGTAGAACGAATAGAGTGGACACCCATATGTCCTCCAAAGTAGGTCCAACAATTATGAGTAATTGAGCTGGTTCAGCCTTTAAGAGTCTGCATAAATGGATGTTTATTCATCTGTTGACTTTTATTTATTATTTGTCATCCATCCCACTTTTCCTACCCTGGGATCACAGAAGGAAACACAAACGGCTTCACAGAATTAGTAGCCATTTCCCAGTGAGGACGTGATAGGGATATTTTGATTCTTTTATTTCTTCTTCTTTTTTTTTTTTTTTTTTTTATAGGGGAGGGATATTTGACAGTGTAAGTGTCCTTTCCGTGAAACTGGGACAGGAACATAATCGGGCCCATGGGAGGAGCTGTGAGTGAGCTCACCACTGCACAACTTTTTTCTCGGAAACAAACTGTCCGTGAGGCCCCTCAGCATCTGAGGGCAAAAGGGCCAAGTACACGGGGGTCTCTGCTCCTTCTTCTGGGCTTTTGGTGGCTGTGGGTCCTGCCATGTCAGTTCTCACCCACCCTGGGCAGCAGGCATTCAAGAGGATCCTGTCCCCTCCTCTCTGCTCACTCAGTTTCCTGGCTTGGATTCTGGACAGGACCGTGACGCCGATTTTCGTCACCCCATATGCGGTCTCAGGCCAGCCCTCCTTCCTGTGCACCCTGTGCTTTGTGTCTTCCACAAACTTGTTCATGAGCCCCACCAGCTCCTCCTCCGTGATGGTCTCACTTCGAAACTTCTGCTGCAGTTCGGGGCTGCATTTTTTGAGAGAGCGGACACTCACAAAGCTGGACACATTCACGACTCTGCCTGGAATACAACACAAGTCATTACATAGAAAGGTGAGCACAAGAACAATGAATGCCAAATTTGGGACAGGATTTATGTCCTCATGTCCTCTTGTAAGAGGACATTAGGGAAGGAAGAGAATGTTATTTTGGGAGGGGGTTACTCATTGGGTTTTATCTGTTTTATTATTATAAGTAACCAACTGTTATTTGTAATGTTTTTAAAAATTACACATAATTATTTTGAAAATTACAGGAATGAACTATTTCACTTAAACTCAAGAAATAAGTAATGACACAGGGAAGAATTCTGTGAATCCACTACCCAGAACAACTTGTGAAAATTATTTAAAAAACTTAACTATTTAAAGTCTCTGGTAATGGTCCTGAGGGCATACAGCAAATGAAGAAACTTTTATTCCCGAACATCTCCAACAACTCAGGTAAGAACAGAGTCTGTTCTGTGGTATTTCAACCATGACCTGCTCCTTCCTTTCCCCCTTTCTGGCCATAACAATGGAAACTTCACTCTAGGATGGTGCATCCGTGAACACAAGACTATCGTATCTTCCCAAGATGGGTAGGACATCAGCATTTCTCATGCTGCTCCTCAGCTACCTGTTGCAGAGGTTCAGTTCCTGGCAAGTGCATTTAGGAGGTGACCCAGCCCTCACCTGTGGGACAAAGGCTCTACCTTAGGCTGGACATCCTGAGAATACTGGGGCCCAAACTGCCCTTTCCCCAGCTTGTCTGTAAGGCAGAAGTGTCACGTAGGACCAGAGACCACTGCTTCTCTTGCCTCCTAGCTCCTAAAGCAGGAGTGTCACAAAGACAAGTGTCATTATCCCTGCCTCTATCTTCAGACCTGTGGCTTAGAGATTTTGCACAAGAGGGAGAAAGAGTCAGGACATAAAAACCGAGGGGTCTGACGCTCTCCCAAAAGGATGTGATTTCATTTGAAAGAGTG